TATTTTTATTTTTTTATAATATACTAACTTTTGTTTCTTTTTTTTTTTTTTGTAGGTTATATTTGGTGAATTTTAAACTTTTTCATATATATATGTTAATTCTATTTTATTTTTTAATTTTCTTGGTTAAATACCCTTTTTGGTCCCTCTACTATAGGAAAAAGCCCCTTTTTGATCCCTGTACCCAAAAAAACCCTTTTTTAGTCCTTATTGTTCACAAATCCAGCCCCTTTTTGGTCCTTCCGTTAATTTTTGCTCTCGTGGCATGTTAACTTAACTGAAATAGCTGATGTGGATATGCCAATATGTAAAAATGCTTACGTGGACTCCACGTCATACTCCATGTAGACTCCACGTCACCCTCCACGTGGACTCCACTTCCTCCAGCCTTTTTTTTCTTTTCTTTTTTCTTTTTTTTCCTCTTACCCCGCAACCGAACCCAGGCTACCTAGGAGCTTGGGTTTGCCTGGGTTCCTCGCGCACATAATCTTTCTCTACTGATTCTTTTCCTTCTTGTGTTCTGATTTTGTTACAACTGGTCTTTTGGGTCCTTGGAGGAGTTAGGACTGGGAGAGTCTATTGTGGTGGTGCCTGATGATGGTGAGGATTCTATGATTGTGGGGTCTCCCTGTTTTAAGGTGTGTGGTTTTGGGATCTCTGTTAGGAATTGAACAACTTCTCGCATTGTTGGGCGCTCTACGGCCTGTTCTTCCACACAGAGCATCGCGACGTAGAATACGTGCATCACCTCATTGAGAGGAACTGAAGGGAGCCTAAGGTCATGGATTTTGAGAACTCCTTCCTTCTTTGAATCTGTCATTTTCCGAACCCATTGAATAATGTCTACGCCGTCACCAAATTCTCCTACTGGTTTTCTCCCACTAACAAGTTCTAGCAGCACCACACCAAAGCTGTACACGAGGAACCCAATTCATTTTATAGCTATTTTTTTGGTTGTTGTTTTGGGTGAAAAAGTTCGTTTCTTTGTAAAGTGATTTTTTTGGAGGGGAAGAATGAGTCGAATGACGGTCGCTTTTCGCACCGGAATCCTGTTAGCCGCCTTGATTTTGTCGGTGGCAGTGGTTTTGGGTGAGTTTCAGATGACCTTTGAGCTTGAGAGAGCGATTCCGCTCAGTCACCAACTCGACCTGAGCCAACTCAGAGCGCGTGACGCGGCTAGGCACGGTAGGCTGTTGCAATCCTCCGGTGGAGTCGTGGATTCGCCTAGGTTCCTCGCGAACCCGCGAGCTGGGTTCCTCGCGAACCCAGGCTCCTGGCTAGCCGCGAGGAACCCAGCTTGCGAGTTTGCGAGGAACCCAGGCTCTTGGGTAGCCTGCGACGAACCCAGCTCAAAAAGGGGCGCGAGGAACCCAGTTGTAACAAAATCAGAACACAAGAAGGAAAAGAATCAGTAAAGAAAGATTATGGGCGCGAGGAACCTAGGCGAACCCAAGCTCCTGGGTAGCCTGGGTTCGCCTGCGGGGTAAGAGGAAAAAAAAAAGAAAAAAAAAGGCCGGAGGAAGTGGAGTCCACGTGGAGGGTGATGTGGAGTCTACATGGAGGATGACATGGAGTCCACGTAAGCATTTTTACATGTTGGCATATCCACATCAACTATTTCAGTTAAGTTAACGTGCCACGAGAGCAAAAATTAACGGAATGACCAAAAAAGGGACGGATTTGTGAACAGTAAAGACTAAAAAAGGGATTTTTTCGGTACAGGGACCAAAAAGGGGCTTTTTCCTATAGTAGAGGGACCAAAAAAGGTATTTAACCAATTTTCTTTTATATTTATATATATTTTGTTTTTTGTTTTGTAAGAAATGTGGGGAATTTTAAGTAAAAGCATTAAAGGTAATGATTTAATTAATATTTTTTAT